AAAAAAAAAAAAAAAGGAATATTTCAATTATATTTGTGTGCTCATTGATTGATTGCTGGCAGTTTGTGAGGCAGTTCTTTTCTTTTTAAGTTTTTATTTGGTTGAAGAGGGGGTTGCTTTTGCTCCCTCACACGGGTGGTTTTATCCTTTTCGTCGTTTCCGGAGATTTTGTTTTTTTGCTATGATCCAACTCAATTTATAATGCAAGACTCGACTTTGAAACAATGACAGGTATCACAATGCAAGAAGAGGTGGATTTCGATCAGTAGAGTCAAAGAAAGAAGAAGAAGAAGGAGAAGGAGACGGAGAGGAAGAAGAAGGAGGAGGAGAAGAAGAAGAAGAAGAAGAAGAAGAAGACGAAGACGAAGACAAAGACGACGAAGAAGAAGGCGACGACGACGACGACGACGACGACGAAGAAGAAGAAGAAGAAGAAGAAGAAGAAGAAGACGAAGAAGAAGAAGACATTGAGCTATTGTCATTCCTCCTACTCTACGAATCCCCAACGGAGGCGGCTGTGAGCGGCCGCGCGACTTTGCGGTCGCGTGGCGGTCAGTGGGAGGGCGGAGCGGGGGTTTAGGAAGTGGAATATCTGTCCACAGTTACGGGCATACTGACTTCTGGGACCTTTTGGGACATACTCACACTGGGACTTCGGGCAACTTAGGGCACACTCACTCTCTGACTATTCTTACGGCATACTGACACTGGGACCCTCTGGGACATACTCACTCTGCACCCCGCCTGGCGCGGCATCGCCGCAGCGCGCCTCTGAGTTGTTTTTTAAGGAAACAAAAAGAAAAAAAAAAGAATACATATTCTGGGAACATTCCAAGGCCATTCACTATTCCATATACGCTACATCTGGGTCTTGAAAGCACCAGTACACCCATACACTGGCTGCGGCTCGTTTCGGAGGCCGGTAACGCGATGCCTCCGGCCGTTGATAAAATTTATCAACATCGCGCCAGCCCGGAAAGTTGCGGAGGGGGACGACGGTGGGGACAAGTTTCTTTCTGCAAGGCTGGGGCCGTCTACCGGCAGTTTAAGGGCGCTGGTCGCAAAAAAAAGATAGATAAATGTGAAGCGCTGTATTGTTCGTGCAGCAAACATTCTACCAGTGCGTGAAGGCAATAGCAGAGATGGAGGAGCAGGGGTCATCTGCATTATCCTTGCTGCACACATATGGTAGGAGCTTTCAATTGCATATCGATTGTGCAAAATCAGAGTTGGAAGTTAAAGATATCAAAATTGCTGGAATGCAAAATACTGATCATGAAATAATGACGCAAAGTTTTTTTAACCCTTGAGCGGTGGTTGATGCACAGCGGACTTGAGGTACCCGTTTGACCAACAGCGGATCCGTATTGTGGAAAGTGGATTAGCTTCGACTATGAACAGGAGGGTGTTTGGTTCAAATTACGCTTGAGGACTAACGAAGAAGTAGTCTTTCTGGAAAAAGGTAAAATCTACAAAAAAAAAAGGGGGGGAAAACGAGGTGAAATAATGTGTGGTGCAGAGGCAATGAAATGGCAGAAGTTAATCACAACGATAATTTTTATGTGCTTACACCACCAGTACGTTTCCCATCCATTTCTCTCCAAATATGCCTTGCATACTGCCGCAACTTTTGAGGGCCGGCAGCTGGAGCAAAATGGCTGGCAGGCTGTGGCAGCGCCAGCCAAATCGAGGCCTCCGCCAGTTCATTTTCTTTGGCGCACAGCGCATTTCAAGCCCCGGGGAAAAGTGGCTTGGAAGTACTAGTAGTGGTCAAATGATGACAACAGCAGGCACTGCCAGGCAGAGGGTTGAAGGCCAGCGTGCATTTGCGCATAATTACACTGATATACAATCGATATACACTTTTTCATGGATAAGCACACTCAAGGGTGAGAATTAAAAAAAGAAGATATAGATCTCCAGATATTGTGGAAAAGTTTCAGAATCCAGCTGCCTTGCTCAGTAAGGCACGCAAGTGGCATTCAGGAGAGGTCTTGGGTTCAATCCCCATTGGCCTCATGTACCTTCCTCGTCAATCTCGACGCCTGCCACCTAGAGATATGCCGTTGGTTCCCCCGACTGGCATTTTGAGCAGAGACTGCTGATGCTCATAGGGGGAGGGGAGGGGAGGCACAGTGACTGGCCGACCCATCAAAGAAGCCTGGTCGTCATGCTACTGGCTGACCCCTGGCCGGTATTGCCCACCTGCTGTAGCAGGTATCGCACCTACTGGTGGTGGGTAGAGCTCCTGCATGTTCCCTCGTTGGAGGCTTGAGCACGGATGTGGCTGCTATGGGGTTCCCCGTAATAATACTATAATGACAATAAGAAAAAAGGGCCTGAAAGGATCCTGTCCTGTCTAGATGGGACAGGTAATTGAATTGGTAAACAGCTGCGTTGGACGCTGTTCGCGTTCGGGGGCGAACACGAACGCGTTTCCCTGAACGTGTTCGTGCAGGCGCGGACGTCTTTTTTTTTTTTTGGTTTAGGGGTCGGGGGGCATAGGCCTGTGTCCCTGAACCCCCCTTGCTGCTCTAAGAGTCGTGTGTATGTGTGTGTATCAGTGTGTGTGTGTGTGTGTGTGTGTGTGTGTGTGTGTGCGCAATGCAATGTCTGCCACACACACACCCACACACAATGAAGCTGTCTGGCACAGTCTGACGAAACAGTCTGGCACAGTCTGATTCAAAGTCCGACGAAACAGTCTGGCACAGTCTGACACACAGACACACACATAACTCTGGCACAGTCTGAAGAAACAGTCTGGCACAGTCTGATGCAAAGTCTGATGAAACAGTCTGGCACAGTCTGACACACAGACACACTGACACAGACACACAGACACACACACATACACTGGCACAGTCTGGCACAATCTGATGCAAAGTCCGACGAAACAGTCTGGCACAGTCTGACACACAGACACTGACACACACATACACACTGACACAGACAGACACACACATACACACATACACAGACAGACAGACACATACACGCAGACAGAGACACACACACACACACGCGCGCACACACACAATAGGTCAAAGACTGCTTTGATTCTGAATCTATTCACCTGGGTGGAATTGGGGCTGTTGTGGGGAAAATCTAAAACACACACACGCACACGCACACACACACACACACACACACCGGCACTCCCCAGGCCCCTCCAAAGCCCCGCCGGCGACCGGTACCGGCCCGCGAACGGGGTTCTCGAGAACGTGTTCTCGACCCGTTCACGCGAACGGGAGAACGCGTTCTCGCCCGAACAGAAAAGGCCGCGAACACGTTCGCCGTGCTACGCAGGTAAACAGGATCACATTCTACATGGGAAAAGGAAAATGCCTAGGGTTTCAAGAGATTCGTGAACGTGTTGCACAAGAAACGATTGATCTTCAAAGGGGCTTGTATGCAACCCTCCATGCAGACCACGTGCAGACCAATAACTGCACTTTCTCTTTGTACCTAACTAAAACAGCTGACAGGAACGAGACCAGATCAACGGATTTTAGTTAGTCCGTTGCACTCTTTTTTTTTTCTTTTTTTTTGGCCAGGATTTGATGTGTGCCCTCGAACTCTGAAACTGCTTGCTAGAGGTAGTACCCACGTTTGTTTTTTTGTACTTGAGCGCAGACGCTTCGAGGGCCATCTGGGGCATGTGTGTGGCATGTCCCAACTTTTTTTTTTTTGCCTTTTCTTTTTCTGTTTTTCCTTCTCGTTTTGGGAAACTGTATGGGTGCAATTTTGTGTAAAGCGGCTGCCGTCTGCACCTGAATAGAACGCCTGATCATTATCACTGTATGTAGACCCATAATGACCGGGTGCTCTATTCGGGTGAATTTTGTAGCGTTGAGCGGTGGTGGGAAGTGGTATGCGGGGATTGTAAGCGGTTGCTCAGATCGGGGTAGCCGAGGGCGAATGTGGACATTAAAGCAGTCAGATGCATCCCGGATCTGCTTCTTGTTGTGAGGCTGCCTTTTTTTTTTTTTTTTTGCCCTTCAGGGCTGCCATATTCGAGGCGTTAGAAACTAGGAAAAAAAAAAAAAAAAAAAACGCAGAATTTGTCGAGAATTCTATTGGTTTGCAATTAGCAGTAAGATCGGCTGCGGTTCATTGATGAGGATTGCATCTGGGAATATCTGTGGAATGATAAAAGTTGTATAACGATGAAATTTGGAAAATGATAAAATCTGCGAGCGCGGCCGTTTTTTGAACTTTTTTCTTTCCGTCATCGGTGTATCTTTTCTTCCCTTCTTCTTCTTCTTCTTCTTCTTCTTCTACCTCCCTATCTTTCCGGTTTTCAACTGCAGTTTCCATTGGCGGGAAAGAAGCGTGCATGGTGTCTGACTATCATCGTCCATTCAGTCACCCAGTGAACAAGACGCCAAGTGCGAGGATTGTGCCACGTGTAGACCGCCCAGCCACCAGTTCCTTCTGCTCGGTGAGCGACCACTCGGCTAGCAACCGCTCGGCTAGCGACCGCTCGGCTAGCGACCGCTCGGCTAGCAACCGCTTGGCTATCGACCTCTCGGGAACGGAAGCCCGGGTGGAAATGGCGGCGGATGCATCGTCATGGCCATCCCGATCCCAATCGCCATCGCCATCCCCATTGCCATCGCCAACTTCGTCGGCGTGGTTAATTGTGAACCAATTTCAAGAATTGAGTGGTATGCTGGAGGAGAGTAACGCGATAAGAGACAAGTTTCGCGAAATTGCGAGCGATATGGACACCGCCGTCCGGCAATTTCAGTCAGCCATTCTTCCGGTTCACTATCTTCCCGCCAAGGAGGTGCCGGCCGCCATAGCCAAAACGAAGGAGAATGTACGTGCTCTGCAGACGATGATGGGCAGGCTAGCTGCGACTTTGCACGACTGTAAGGGTCAGTTCTATAGATACCATGATCATTGGCGCAATCAGACACAGACTGTAGTTTTCTTGCTGGCCTTCATTCATTGGTTAGAAACTGGCGGGCTTTTGCAACACAAGGACGTGGAGCAGCAATTAGAGGTGGTCAGGAACGATTATTTCTTCGTCGATCTTGATGATTACTTGATTGGTATTTGTGGGTTGTCGAATGAACTGTCTAGATATGTCGTAAATAGAGTGACACTCGGTGAGTATGAGGTTGCAGAGCGCGTTTCCAAATTCCTTAACGAGCTGTACACCGCGTTCCGGTTGCTTAACTTGAGGAACGATGCGCTTCGCAAACGCTTTGATGCATTGAAGTACGATCTTAAGAGAGTAGAGGAGGTTCTTTATGACGTCAACATACGGGGATTGGGAAGCAAGAGCACCACAGGAGGAGGATCGTGAAAAAATTGCAGCAAAGAGCGGGGCCAAGTGCGGCAGTGTGTGGCATGATGTCATGACAGGGGGCGGCACGAGCAGCGGCATGTGCGGCAGTGTGTAGCATAATGTCACGGACGGCAAGCGGGACATGAGCGGCGGCATGTGCGGCAGTGCGTGGCATGGTGTCATGGCACATGCGGCATGACCGGCAGCATGTGCGACATCATCAATCTTTACGATGACGTCAACAATTGGAGGTTGGGAAGCAACCCAGGAAGATCATCGCCGCAGGATCTGACAGTGGATCAGATGAGGAGCGATCTTTTTGTTTTTTTCTTTTTTCCCTCTCTTCTCGAGATGACGAGGAACGATCATGACAAGTGCAGCTAGGGGGCCATCTGGGACATGTGTGTGGCATGTCGCGGCTTTTTATTTTTTGCCTTTTCTTTTTTCTTTTTTTCCTCCTTGTTTTGGGAAACCATATCGGTGCTATTTTGTGTAAAGCGGCTGCCGTCTGTACCCGAATACAACGCCTGATCATTATCACTGTATGTAGACCCATAATGACCGGGCGCTCTATTCGGGTGAATTTTGTAGCGTTGAGCGGTGGTGGGAAGTGGTATGCGGGGATTGTAAGCGGTTGCTCAGATCGGGGTTGCCGAGGGCGAATGTGGACATCAAAGCAGTCAGATGCATCCCGGATGTGATTCCTGTTGTGAGGCTGCCTTTTTTTTCTTTTTCTTTTTTCCCTTCAGGGCCGTCATATTCGAGGCCTTAGAAACTAGGAAAAAAAAAAAAAAAAACATGCAGAATTTGTTGAGCATTGGATTTGTTTGCAATTAGCAGTAATAGGCTGCGGTGTCTGCTCTTACCAGCACCTCTAGCACTGGAAGGGAGTATATTAAAAAAAAAAAAAAAAGGCTGCAGTTCATTGATCAGCATTGCATCTGGGAATATCTGTAGAATGATAAAAGTTGTAAAATGATGAAATTTGGAAAATGATAAAATCTGTGAAATAAATTCAAATAATAAAAATTGTAAAATCTGTACATCATATCGATAGAGAGGGGCACCCTCCCATTAGCTGCGAAGCGGCCAGGGTCGCGGTTGGGGATGGGGGTGGGGTTTTGGGGGTCGGATTTCCTCCAGGGGTGGGCCGAGTGCAGCAGGTTAGGGTAGGTTTCGGGGGTGGGGATTTTCTAGGGTTCGCTTTCTAGTGTCGTCTGGGGTTTTCTCTAGAGGGAAGAAAAACATCTCACAATTCTCGCTCTACCATCTTCACTGCCCCTCTTCGGCCGAACATGATGCACCCTGGTAATGAATGTATCAAAGCTATATTTCCAGTCAGGTGCATCCACAAATAAGGGTGCTTTTGTGTTGGGGGAGGAAGGTCGTATAGAACGTGCGGATGGTCTAGGGTCGAGTATCGGGGGTGGAGATTTTCTAGGGTTTGTTTGCTAGTGTTCTCTGGGGTTTACTCCGGAGGGAAGAAGAAAACCATGTCACAAATTTCTCTACCGTCTTCGCTAGTCTAGAACGTCCGGTAATTTGCACTGTACCTAGACAAATGCAGCCATAATGACCGGGCGCTCTAGGGCAGAGTTTCGGGGGTTGGGATTTTCTAGGGCTTGCTTCCGGACGTTTCGGGGGTTGGAATTTTCTAGTGTTTTCTGGGGTTTGCTCCGGAGGGAAGGGAAAAACCATGTCACAATTCTCTCTACAACTTCCCAAATACCGCCATAAGTTGAGATATATGTCAAAATGTCCCAAAAATATATGGGCACAGTGGAATGAGCTTTTGGGCTGACTTGTTTCTGTTATGCCCCTGTCAGGCGGGTGTGCAAATTCGCATGGCATGGCCTTTTGCAATTGCACCTACAAAAACTTGGCAACTGCCGGGGCATTTTGCAAAGCTGGGCAGCGTCCGGTATCGATGGAAAAGAAGTGTGGCAGTGTATATTTCCATGTTCTAGCGGTAGATTCATTCGATATTGCTCATCCTATCGATGGAAGTGCTCTCTCTCTCTCTCTCTCTCTCTCTCTCTCTCTCTCTCTCTCTCTCTCTCTCTCTCTCTCTCTCTCTCTCTC